CAGTCTCTTATACTTACCCCAGGCAACCCGTCCGAACATTTTACCTGAAGTTGTGCATTCTTTCATATTAAATCCTAATTATATATAAATATATGTATATCATATGCCTCAATAACTCCTTTTTATAGTGTGGGTGGTTATAATGGATTTTCTGTCTGTGTACAAGGAGGATTATAAATACATTATAACTATAGAGAATTATGATTAAATTATAGGCCTAACCTCCAGTCTGAGCTGAACACATGCCTTACTATTGCAGAGAGAGAGAGAGAGAGAGAGAGAGAGAGAGAGAGAGAGGAGAGAGAGAGAGAGAGAGAGAGAGAGAGAGAGAGAGAGAGAGAGAGAGAGAGAGAGAGAGAGAGAGAGTAGAAGCAGAGCAGAAAGCTATCGATAGAGATCGTATCGAGAGAGGAGTATGCTATCTACTCTCTAGCGGAAGCGAATCCTAGCTCTTTTTCTTTCCTTTCTGTTTTCTTTCGGGACTCGAGCTTTCTTGCCAACTTGGTTTTGGTCTAGATTCTTGCCTTTTTTAAAGTGTTGTGTGTTCTCCAATCATCTTCCATTTCCTCTATGTTTTAGCTCTTTTCACTTCCTATTTTAGTCTCCTTCTCATTCCATCCTGTCTGCAACACGTTTCTGTTGTCTCTCTCTCTGTTTTTCTCTCTGTCTCTCTCTAACAATGTCAGCTTTGTGTGACAGTAAAGGTGAGAGGTGAGGGGGTCAAGGTGTCAGGTGGTGTGTCTGTCTGGTATTTGGCGCCGCTGTACAAGGATGCCCCAGAAGTAAGAGTGAAAGGAGCGAGGGTTGAGACGGGAAATGCGAGGTTACCCACGGGGTGAAGTGAAGAACGCTCCTCAGTCCTGATTCTCATTCTCCTTGTTTAAAGTTATTCCAAAAGCTCTGCAGTGTTAAAAGGCACCAGTGCACCAGTCTGTAGGGTCGTCTGGAGTGTGACTGGTCTGGTCTGGTCTGGTCTGGTCTGGTCTGGTCTGGTCTGGTCTGGTCTGGTCTGGTCTGGTCTGGTCTGCAGTGGTCTGGTCTGGTCTGGTCTGGTCTGGTCTGGTCTGGTCTGGTCTGCAGTGGTCTCACATCACTCTGTTTAGCATGTGTGTCAAGTCACCCAGGCTCCTCCAAACAGTGTCTGTCCACAGTCTCTGTGTTTGGACAGTTTTTGTTTGGACAACAGGGTTGTTTGTTTCACTCCATTGGTTTTGGGTCAGTTAGCTGTTTTATGGTCAGATATGTATTGGCCTGGATGTATGGACTCAGTGTTTAAACTGTGATCAGTTATGAATGGCATTGATTGGGTTTATTGGTGTGTGTGTCTGGTGTGTGTGTGTGTGACTTAGTGTGTGTGCTGTATGTACAGTATGCATTCTGTCATGAATACAACAGCAGGCTATACCCATCAGAGTTTTATGCCATCCTATCAAAGCATATATTGCTTTTCGGACCCAATATATAGTTTGTATATTAATGTTAATTATACCTTTGGAAAGAATTGAGGGTGAAATAAGCCATGGAAGTGCAGATAGAAATGTAACGAATAGAGCTAACAGGTGTCCTTATTCTACCCGACAGACAATCACGTCTGTTCTACTCTGTTTCTATCTGAGCGTTCTGTAACGTTTCACCCTCCTGAACAGGCTCCTGTTCTGACAGCTGTCAGGAGTTCTGTGTCTGACCTAGCCCCATCTAGCGGTCAATTAAGTTAATTACATTAAAGCAGCCGTGCCACTCCTGTTTGTTTACATTACATTACACTGCATTTTCCACTAGTCTTACATTTAGGATTGTTTTGATTGGGCTTAATGCTATATGTGAATACTTTTTCTTGAAAATAAGGCTTACATATAAAAGACACCATGAACAATTTCTAACATCCTGGTTGATAATGGATGAAGCATACTACTGTATGTAGGCTATTTGCATTAAATACAATTTCCAGAGTGGCGCAGTGGTCTAAGGCACTGCATCACAGTGCTAGCTGTGCCACGAGAGATCCTGGTTTGAGTCCAGGCTCTGTCGCAGCCAGCCGCGACCTGGAGACCCATGGGCGGTGCACAATTGGTCCAGCGTCGTCCAAGGTAGGGGAGGGTTTGGCCGGCAGGGATGTGGGTTCGTTTCCCACGGGGGGCCAGTATGAAAAAAACAAAAAAAACAAAAAAAACCAAAAAAACATGTATGCATTCACTAACTGTAAGTCGCTCTGGATAAGAGCGTCCTGCTAAATGACTAAAATGTAAAATGTAAAATAGATAGCCTATTTCAATTTCTATGTGATTGGTTAATATGATTTCATCATTACTGTAGCTCACTACTGGGTTGCTGTGAATAAAGCAACATGAAGGATAATACAATGATTATCATTTACAGTACAGGGTGTTAACTCCTTTCACACACGCCGTACTCCCCTTTAAATACACACACCCAGTACTCCCCTTTAAAGACACACATGCAGTACTCCCCTTTAAAGACACACACCCAGTACTCCCCTTTAAAGACACACGCCAGTACTCCCCTTTAAAGACACACACCCAGTACTCCCCTTTAAAGACACTGTGTACAGGGTGGTCTCTACTCTGTGACCAAATGTGTGACTTAAAGGAGAGGGTGAGAGGAGAAAGAAAGCAGGCAAAGAGAGAGAGGTGTCTTTTCTGCATGCCTGCCTTGTCCACCCCCATCTGGCTCCATATTTGCCACTCCTTGTATGTTTTTTTTGTGGGTGTGTATTTGTCGTTATATTTTAGTTCATCCTCCTCTCCCAAGACCTCCTAGCAGGAAGGGCCCATTGAGCAGAGCAGCTGTGAGCGGGCCGAAACAGAGGTGCTCATTGTGTGTGTGATCCTGCGGTGGAATCTGATACAGTATCCAGCATCACAGGGCTGTGCTGTCTGCAGTTTCTCTTTCTCTCCTCCGCACTCTCTCTTTCTTTCTTTAGCTCTCGTCCCTCTCTCTCTCTCTCTCTCTCTCTCTCTCTCTCTCTCTCTCCCTCTCTCTCTCTCTCTCTCTCTCTCTCTCTGTTTGTAAAGAATTCCCTCTCTCATAGACCCTTGACCCCTCCTCTTCCCTCTCTCTGTCTCTCAGAGTTTGTGTGCCGGTAATAGACTGTGGTCCCGATTCTCTGAGTCAATATTAACGCACCATTTGAGAGTTCCCCATAAATATTGTCATCTGAGGCCTTCAAACTGGTTGTTCACCCTGGGTGTCACCTAAACACAATGAGCCTGGATTGCCTAATATCATATGTTCTAATTCATTGGTATTTACACTACAATACAGAGTACAGACTGGCCTATGGGAATAATAGTATCATATCATTACATATGACTGTGATTTTTCAGTTAATCAAAAGATACATTCCTATTCTGGGCTAGGATTGCTTTTGTCTTTCTTTTCAAAAGTGTTGTTTATTAAAGTGGCTGGGAATGACTATAATAAATGTGGTTTACTGTTTTTCATTGTAATGGCAACATTAAAGCACAGTTGTTATTTGAATTCATATTAAAGGTCTGTGGTAATTCAGTCATTCCCATTATTCCTGCCTTTAAAATGCTTGACTGGCATCATAAATGAAACTTTGCCACCCCACTAACAGTATAGAAACATTCACCTAGCATCTCAAACACAGACAGGGCAGCCAAGACCAACTCTGAAAAATAATACAACCTTGAGAAAAGTCCCTCCACTGAAACATAGTAAAGAAAGATGGGAGTACCTAGCTTCCTTAGGCTGTACACTGCTCTCTTGTTGGAGTGTCTAGGAACTTTGTCTTGTTCCTGAACCAACCAAGGGCCCCATTCTGGCTAAATTGGTAACTGGGTGCAGCGAAACGATTCATCCTGCTAGGTAATAGAGCATGTTTGAAGTAATAATTATTTTGTTGAGTACGTGAATTCAAGCATGCCTTCTTGCATCGCAAGAAGTTGTTTGACTTATCTCAGAAAGTCTGTTTCCTGGTTTGATTGAATAAGGCTATAGCATTCCACATCTTATCCAACACAAGTCTTACTTGGGCAGAACAGACCAGTTTCCTGGACCCAGATCTTAGCTAAAATGCACGCTCAATGGAGAATCTCCATTTGAAAGTGTTTTTTTAGCCCAGAAATAGGTTTCATGTGGGCCTGGGAAACCTGCCCTGGGGAGTCAGCCCATTGGTTCAGCCAAGCAAAGTATGACTGACAGACAGTCATTATACCCTGATGAAGACAGCTTGTCTGTCGAAACGTGGTTATTAAATTATTGCATCTGAGCTCCTAGAGTGTGAGACTCTCCTTTTCTATTTCAAGTGTTCTACTCCGCTAGCCAGCACCTCGCCTAAACAGGTGTTCTACTCCACTAGCCAGCACCTCGCCTAAACAGGTGTTGTACTCCGCTAGCCAGCACCTCTCCTAAACAGGTGTTCTACTCCACTAGCCAGCACCTCGCCTAAACAGGTGTTCTACTCCGCTAGCCAGCACCTCGCCTAAACAGGTGTTCTACTCCGCTAGCCAGCACCTCGCCTAAACAGGTGTTCTACTCCACTAGCCAGCACCTCGCCTAAACAGGTGTTCTACTCCGCTAGCCAGCACCTCGCCTAAACAGGTGTTCTACTCCACTAGCCAGCACCTCGCCTAAACAGGTGTTCTACTCCGCTAGCCAGCACCTCTCCTAAACAGGTGTTCTACTCCACTAGCCAGCACCTCTCCTAAACAGGTGTTCTAATCCGCTAGCCAGCACCTCTCCTAAACAGGTGTTCTACTGTGCTAGCCAGCACCTCTCCTAAACAGGTGTTCTACTCCGCTAGCCAGCACCTCTCCTAAACAGGTGTTCTACTCTGCTAGCCAGCATCTCTCCTAAACAGGTGTTCTACTCTGCTAGCCAGCACCTTGCCTAAACAGGTGTTCTACTGTGCTAGCCAGCATCTCTCCTAAACAGGTGTTCTACTCTGCTAGCCAGCACCTTGCCTAAACAGGTGTGCATTTCATTCGCCTCCAGATTGACAGACAGTCATACCTGGTATGGAGGCAGGATGTGAGATTGGCGCTGATGTCTGTGGTCGGTGTATTCTGTTTGCACAGACTTCCATGACTCAGCACTACCACATTTATGGTACTTGTTATATTTGCTTGACAGACACTGGTAGAATAGAGGAGACTGTTCCTGGGGTTAGATGGAGTGTAGAAGATGGTGGACTTGGCATGTGGACTTTCTATTACCGTAAATGTTTTTGCATTGCTTTTTCTTACAGCAATAGGTATGTCTATGATACTTTGACATTCCATTAAAATGTAACAAAGGCTCACGACCATAACTCCATGCAGTTTTTCAATTTATGAATCCTCTCCGTCTCTCCTCAGATCCAGTGGATGTGTTGCGGATGCTGCAGCTGCCCTCTCTCCCCGAGGGTGTGCGGAAGGTTCCAGGCTTCTGCACCTCCCGCCGTGCCGGCTCCGCTGACCATGCCTACCGCATCACCAAGAAGGCCCAGATCTCTGCCCCCACCAATCAACTCTTCTCAGGTACCTCTATATCCATGTCTAACTAGGGTCGTGTTCATTAGGCACCAAACGGATGAAAACAGACTGAAACAGTGATGGACTGCCTGGACTCTACCAATAAGAAACGTTCATTTTTGTTTTCCGTTGCAAAACATTTCAAACGTCTTCCGATGCGTGCCCTAATGAACACGACCCAGGCCTCAAATGGACTAAAGCTACAACATACCTCATCCCTCAGGTTGACTTGGAAAGATGAGGTCGGCATTACCTGTAAATGGGATGGATTGCTGAAACAATGGACACAGACTTGGGCATACAATTCATGCCACGTGCCTTCTGTGAATTTATTTGTGTAATGTGTAATGATTGCTATTTTTGTATTTTTCTTTTAGTGGTTCTTATCATTGTTGTTCGGTTTTAGGGTTTATTTTAATCTTACAATTACCTTAAGGAGGTTAGTTGGACCATAACTTTGCAGCTTTAGTGCTAGATTGCTTTTGCGTTAGGCATATAATTATTTCGTGCAAGAGCATGTGAAATGTAAATGCCTTTGGAAGAGCCTAAACACATTAACAGCCAACTAACTACCGTCTGAGACGCTGACGCGCCCTAGGATATCCTGAAAAGTCAAAAGCTCATTTTCTTAGTTTGGTTTCTAGATTTTTCTACACCCACCTTTTATGTCTTTTCACACTTCAATCCTTCAAACCCTCACTTTTAAATTCCAATAAAAGTTGCAACTGTCTACTCTTAGACAGCCCTAACTCATCAATCATCTACCCCTCTACTGTGTCTAATATCCTTCTTCCCCCAATGCCTCCCTCTCTCCCCTCTTCTTTCTTTCCTCCATGCCTCTTTCTCCTCTTTTATTCTCTTCATGCCTCCTCCTCCCCTCATCTCCTCCAGGTCGTTTCCCGGAGAACTTCTCCATTATGGCTCTGGTCAAGGCCCATGCGGGCCTCCAGGCCTTCCTGCTGTCCATCTACAGTGAGCAGGGTGTCCAGCAGCTGGGTGTGGAGCTGGGACGCTCCCCCGTCTTCCTGTACGAGGACCAGACCGGCAAGCCCGCCCCCGAGGACTACCCCCTCTTCAGCGGCATCAACCTGGCCGACGGCAAGTCAGTAACAACACGTCCCGCGGCTCTGTGTTTGTGTGTGTGGGGTGTGTGTTTGTGTGTGTTTGGGTGTGTGTTTGTGTGTGTGTGTGTGTGTGTGTGTGTGTGTGTGTGTGTGTCAGTATTTCCATGTGTACTGGGGTTTTCAGTGTTTGCATGCATGGTTGTTTTAGTTTTATGCATACACATTACATCATATGAATATCTTCTTCATTAGTCTGATTTTGTAGGGTTGTTATGAGATTTGACACATTTTGCCTCAGTGTCCCAGAACAGTGGTTTTCAAACTTCTCCTCAAGGACCCCCAGATGTTTCAGAATTGTGTTGTAGCCCTGAGCTATGTCACTGATTCAACTTATCAGTGGCTTGATAATTAGTTGACAAGTTGAACTTTGGTATGCTAGCTCTGGAATAGTTCAAATACATGGAATGGCTGTGGGTCCCCGAGGAGAGGTTTGAAAACCCCTGTCCCAGAACAGTCTGGTTTCAATCATGTGAAGTCCCATAAGTCTTTCACACACACACACACACACACACACACACACACACACACACACACACACACACTCACACACTCACACACACACATACAATTTACACTGTGTACATTGGGGTTTCCTTTAAGCAACCCCCTCCAGCACATTACACAGTTGTGCTTTATCTCCTCCCTGCCTGTAGGTGGCACCGCATCGCTATCTCCGTGTCGAAGAAGAACGTCACCCTGCTCCTGGACTGTAAGAAGCGCATGACCAAGGCCCTGCCCCGCAGCAACAGCCCCGTGGTGGACACCAAGGGCATCACCGTGTTCGGAGCACGCCTGCTGGACGAGGAGGTCTTCCAGGTCAGAGGTCACTAGTCACTAGTACCATAGAGTTATACACTGAGTGTACAAAACATTAGGAACAATCTTCCTAATATTGAGCTGCACCCCCTTTTGCCATCAGAACAGCCACAATTCGTCTGGGCATGGACTCTACAAGGTGTCGAAAGCGTTCCACAGGGATGCTGGCCAATATTGACTCCAATGCTTCCCACAGTTGTGTCAAGTTGGCTGGATGTCCTTTGGGTGGTGGACCATTCTTGATACACACGGGAAACTGTTGAGCGTGAAAAACCCAGCAGCGTTGCAGTTCTTGACACAAACCTATTCGCCTGGTGATAATATATCATTCACAAGTGATAGGCTAATATTGTCACCCATCAGATTATTCTTGATTTAATCTTGTCTTTACATATACTAAATAATATATGTAAGACATTTGTTTTGATTTAGAATGGAACATTATCATGCACCTGTCTCGAAACAGGGGCAGGGGGAAAAAATACATGTCTTCTATGCACTTAAATAGCGAATGGATTACGCTTTTCATGTGGTTCATTTTCATGCCTGCCAGGTAGGCTATACTCCTGTTGTAAAGAGAAGCAATGTGCTTAATATTAGGAAAGTTGAGAAATAAATATAGTAGGCCTAGCCTATAGAAAGCTGTTGGGATCCTCCTCTTTTTAATAGAGGCCATCACTCTGTTTTCTCACGCAATTGCATAGCCTATAGAAATGTTGAGCAACATGAGCTCATGGGCTCTCATTAAGTGTTTGATTAGATTTTCGATTACATTTGCATTGATCTCAGAGTGATTAGAGGGACAATAGAGTGCTGAGTACCAGGCAGTTAGCAAGTTTGGTAGGCTACTAATGACCATCAGCAGCATCAGAGCTTGGAGAAGCCTAATTACTGTTTGACTGCCTTCATGACTCGTGACCGCCGGTGTGGTGGTAATACGGTCACCGTAACAGCCCTACGCCTGGCACCTACTACCATACCCCGTTCAAAGGCACTTCAATATTTTGTCTTGCCCATTCACCTTCTGAATGGCTTAAAAATCCTTCTTTAACCTGTCTCCTCCCCTTCATCTACACTGATTTAAAGTGGATTTAACAGGAGACATCAATAAGGGATCATAGCTTTCACCTGGATTCACCTGGTCAGTCTATGTCATGGAAAGAGCAGGTGTTCATAATGTAGAGATATACATGTCCCAATATTATTAGATTGCTTCCTTTTCTCGTCTCCTCTACTTCCTGAGAACTGATAGGGAGAAAAACGGAATATGGGTCTAACTTCTTTCTTTGACCTATCAAGTTCTTACAGGTTTGTGGTCTTGAAGGAAAGGGGGCTAGGATTGTGAAGGCTACTGATTGTGGTAGCACTTTTATTAAGATATTCAATCTGCTTCAGTAAATAGGCTACCATGTTATGTTATTACCAAGCTCAACCACTCCCATTGACAGGATAACTAATGTTCTTCAATAATCTTCATCTTCTTCTTCTTGTTTGTCCAACAAAAACCTGATGAACCCTTATCCCTTCAAAATCAGCGGATCTGCTTTCAGCTCTGGAACTGATTCAAATTCAATGACTTCTCATTTCAATGAGGTTTTCTGTTTGTTTTCTAATTCCCACAGGGTGATATCCAACAGCTGCTGATCGCATCCAACCCTCAGGCTGCTTATGACTTCTGTGAACACTACAGCCCCGACTGTGACTCCCCTCTACCCAAGACCCAGTCCCAGGACCCCAACACATACGTGAGTAACACAGCAAAACACCACATACACTGAACAGTAACCTGGAAGTGATTTAGGATTCACCATTACACCACTAAGTCACCACAGTATTATAAAGTACCACTCACTATAAATGCAGCTCACGTCACTACAGTCTATCTATGCAGTCCAGCTACTTCAAACATCACGACAACAGCATAAAACAACTTGGACCCACACAAGCTAGTGCAACACAACACATTATAGCATAGTGCAGTGCAATACTGCCATCCTAAACCCAATATTCACTGATATGGTGGCATGTCCACGCAAACCCCACTGCTCACTAAACGCAGTGAGGCCTCGTCATCCTCAGACATCTACAGCTCCAGGAAGTCATCAAAGTGCTGCTCTGTCCTCTCGCATTATGAGTTTGTATCTATCCACTTTCCACAACACCTACGTGTGTTCTGAGGGAATTAAATAAAAGGAGAGCCCTTTGTTTACCACTACAAACAATACACAATACAAACAATGCGGTAATGCTTCAGTAATACAGGCAAACGGATGAGAAAGTGGTCAGAAGTCAAGTCATGTCAATTGTTTCCTCTTGGGAAAAATTGAGTTTTTAATTTGTTTGGGTTTGTTGAAATCCTAATGCAAGACTTATTTCAATAAAGACACACAAGCATTGAATCACAGTTGATTTGCACTCAACTTGAATAAAATGCTTTTTTAGAACAAAAGGGAAAGAGGATGATACAATCAGACTGCTTCTCTACTCTTCATCATTCCATTTCATGACTATGGAGAAGTATCACTTTGGATGCACCAATCACAGAAAACATGTATTAGAAATGCTGCTGAAATGATTGCTGTTGAATGAATATAAATCGGTGTGGTTTTATTCATTGCGTTGGTTTTCTCATTCATCAAGATCCTCCATGTGTCTCCATTACTATGGCTCCAGACATTCATCGACACATGGAGTCGTAATGAATCGAAAAACATTGCTTTTATTTACTTCTCCAATGCACTCGTCCCCACCATATTTCCCCCCTCACTCTCTCCTTTCATGCCTTCCTCTCCCCCCTCACTCTTCGCCCCTCCTGTCCTCCATTCCTCTGCCTATATCACCTTCTTGCCTACCTCCATCTCTCTCAGTACTTTGATGAGGACCAAGATGACCATGAATACCTCTATTATTATGGGGAAACAACAGACACCCCCTCCTCTCTGTCCATCTCCCCCTCCCCACAACTAGGGGGGCCCACTCAACAGGTAAAGAGGGAGGAAGATAATCAAAATAGACAGAAAGGAAGGAGAGATAGAGGCACAGAGAAAGAGGTATGAAGGCAAATATATGTTTCAGGCTCAGTACATGAAAATAGAATGACAATTTTTGCACATCATTTTGTAGATGTTATGCAATGAGAGGGAAATCCCTTTCATAACCCCTGTATGTTTCCTTTAAAAAAAAATCATATTATGAGGTCGCCATGCCTCTCTCCCTGTCACTCTATTTCTCCTCTGTAATACTGCCCTTCTCATGATGTAATTCACACGACCACTCATCCTCTTACATCACCTCGTTTCACCTCACCTATCACATTGTATTAACATTGTGTTATTCATGTTGCAGGAATGTCATTTACATGTTGTCATTGTTGTATATATGAGTATGTGTGGGTATGTTTACAACGTGGGGGCACTGGGGGTTCAGGTACAGCACACACTGCCCCTCTCTCCCTTATTCTCTGGCCACACTGGGCCGGACCAACTGTCAAGAGAAGGAAGGAAAATGAATTAATAAAAAAAATGGACTTGATATATTTTGCTATAATTTTTTGCAATTGCTCATATGATTATTACCCTCAATTTGGAATTAACAACCTAATGCAGTACATGTTTTGTGCCAAAGTAAGCATTAAAGATAGACTCAGTGATAGCGTCATATCACTGAGTCTCAGTTTAAGCAAATTCTTATGACAAAACAATAGAGCATTTGTCTAAAATGACTAGTTGAGGATGGGGAAGGATTATTCAACTCAGACAGCAGTGGGTGAGAAAGGGCTGCCATGCATCAGGTGTGTCCGTATTAACATATCATTGGCATGTCTGATTCATTATGGGATTAACCACTGCATTTCTGCTTTTCGTATGTATAAATGTAACTGCATGCTTCCACATATTTGACTGTATTATCGGTCTACCTGTCTTTGATCAATATAAGGTATCAATGAGTCTGTCCCCCTGTACGCTCATGGTTATGCATTTCACCTGGATCTGGCATAAATATGCCCCTGTCTGCCCATTTGTCTGTCAATCTCTCTGTGTCTCAGTTTCACTGCCTGTCTAAATACCTGTGTTTGTTAATGTACCTTTTCTGTGTTATATTATCCCTCTGTTGTCAGTATCTCATTATGTGTACTATGCATGTTTTCCATAGCATGTCCAATGAGCTATTCTCTACATACACTACCGGTCAAAAGTTTTAGAACACCTACTCATTCAAGGTTTTTCTTTATTTTTGCTATTTTCTACATTGTAGAATAATAGTGAAGACATCAAAACTATGAAATAACACATATGGAATCATGTAGTAACCAAAAAAGTGTTAAACAAATCAAAATACATTTGAGATTTGAGATTCTTCAAATAGCCACCCTTTGCCTTGATGACAGCTTTGCACAATCTTGGCATTCTCTCAACCAGCTTCACCTGGAATGCTTTTCCAACAGTCTTGAAGGAGTTCCCACATATGCTGAGCACTTGTTGGCTGCTTCTCCTTCACTCTGCGGTCCGACTCATCCCAAACCATCTCAATTTGGTTGAGGTTGGGGGATTGTGGAGGCCAGGTCATCTGATGCAGCACTCCATCACTCTCCTTCTTTGTAAAATAGCCCTTACACAGCCTGGAGGTGTGTTGGGTCATTGTCCTGTTGAAAAACAAATGATAGTCCCACTAAGCCCAAACCAGATGGGATGGCGTATCGCTGCAGAATGCTGTTGTAGCCATGCTGGTTAAGTGTGCCTTGAATTCTAAATAAATCACAGACAGTGTCACCAGCAAAGCACCCCCACACCATAATACCTCCTCCTCCATGCTTTACGGTGGGAAATACACATGCGGAGATCATCCGTTCACCCACACCGCGTCTCACAAAGAAACGGTGGTTGGAAACAAAAATCTCCAATTTGGACTCCAGACCAAAGGACAACTTTCCACCAGTCTAATGGCCATTGCTCGTGTTTCTTGGCCCAAACAAGTCTCTTCTTCTTATTGGTGTCCTTTAGTAGTGGTTTCTTTGCAGCAATTCGACCTTGAAGGTCTGATTCACACAGTCTCCTCTGAACAGTTGATGTTGAGATGTGTCTGTTACTTGAACTCTGTGAAGAATTTATTTGGGCTGCAATTTCTGAGGCTGGTAACTCTAATGAACTTATCCTCTGCAGCAGAGGTAACTCTGGGTCTTCCATTCCTGTGGCGGTCCTCATGAGAGCCAGTTTCATCATAGCGCTTGATGTTTTTTGCGACTGCACTTAAAGAAACTTTCAAAGTTCTTGAAATTGTCCATATTTACTGACCTTCATGTCTTAAAGTAATGATGGACTGTCGTTTCTCTTTGCTTATTTGAGCTGTTCTTGCCATAAAATGGACTTGGTCTTTTACCAAATATGGCTATCTTCTGTATACCCCCCCTACCTTGTCACAACACAACTGATTGGCTCAAACACATTAAGAAGGAAAGAAATTCCACAAATTAACTTTTAAGAAGGCACACCTGTTAATTAAAATGCAGTCCAGGTGACTAACTCATTAAGCTGGTTGAGAGAATGGCAAGAGTGTGCAAAGCTGTCATCAAAGGAAAGGGTGGCTATTTGAAGAATCTCAAACACTTTGCTGGCACCCCAATGGTGGAACAAGCTCCCTCACGACGCCAGGACAGCGGAGTCACTCACCACCTTCCGGAGACATTTGAAACCCCACCTCTTTAAGGAATACCTGGGATAGGATAATGTAATCCTTCTACCCCCCCCCCCCCCCCCCCACACTTACCCCCCCCCCCCCCCCCCCTTACCCCCCCCCCCAAAAAAAAAAACAAAAAAAACATTGTAAAGTGGTTTACCCACTGGCTATAAGGTGAATGCACCAATTTGTAAGTCGCTCTGGATAAGAGCGTCTGCTAAATGACGTAAATGTAAATGTAAATGTGACTACATGATTCCATATGTGTTATTTAATAGTTTTGATGTCTTCACCATTATTCTACAATGTAGAAAATAGTAAAAATAAAGAAAAACCCTTGAATGAGTAGGTGTTCTAAAACTTTTGACCGGTAGTGTATATGCACACACACTGTACATATTTTTTGTATTTGCCTGAATTTGAATATATCTGCTCCCATCTGTGTATTTTCTTCACTAGTTAAGATATCAGATCACGACCCAGTAAAACTAACTTTTGTGCAATGCTGCTTCTTCTCTGTGGCTATGAGCTCACAGCTCTCTCGCAGTTGGACGGCTCAGTGCATCAGAGGCTTCTCAGTGTGTCCTTGGCTACAGCTTTACCTGACCGTTACATCCCCAGTGCCTCCGCAAGCCACAGGCTCCAGTTTTCATTAGCACAGAGATGCTGCTTTTTTAATATGGAGAATGGCATTACTGGAGAGATCAGCATCCATTGCACTGTACGAGCTGAGTATTAGGCTACACACTGTATTAAATTGACTGCCAAAAGGTGATTCTACACTGACCCCTGTTGTAATTTGAGTCTTGTCATTGGCAAATAACTACATTCCTACCTTGTTCCGATTAGTCAAGGTTTAAATTGGCTGTAAAATGCTCAGTTCCCATCTTTCATGTGCTACATTGACACAAAGTATTTTTAATAGGTGCCCACTTTCTGCTGTATCCAGTAATGCCAGAACAGTCTCAGTAAATTACCCAAGCCTAAGCCATCTTTAAATCACTGTGTCTCAAAACATCCACCCTTGTCTTTCTCTCTCCATCTATCCATCCCTTGTTCCATCATCCCCTCCCACCCCCCAAATGTATCTCTCTACCTCTCCTCTCTCAACACCCACCCACCCTCACAAACTACAACACAACACAACCAATACGCATGAACAACAGAAGGATGCCATTGGCAATGCTGACAAACGCAAACCTGTAGTAGTTAAGGCAGATAAACCTGTAGTAGTTAAGGCAGATAAACCTGTAGTAGTTAAGGCGGCAAAACCTGTAGACGTTAAGGCGGCCAAACCTGTAGTAGTTAAGGCGGCAAAACCTATAGTAGTTAAGGCGGCAAAACATGCCCCATCCAAACCTGCGAAAGCAGAGATTGCCAAGCTTGAGGCCACAGCTGCCGCACCTGTCACAGCCAAACCAGCTAAAACCAAACCTACTGCTGCTAAGCCCACCAAAGCCAAGCCTTCCCCGGCCAAACAAGCCAAAGCCAAACCAACTGCAATTGAAGTCCTCCTGGCCAAGATCAAACCCACTGCAGTCACACCAGTGGCCAAGCCCACACCTGCCACAAAAAATGGCAGTGAAAAAAAAGTCAATGGCAAACCTGTAGTAGAGAAGAAACTAAATGGTAATTCCAAGGTCAATGGCAATGCCAAACCTGTAGTTGAGAAGAAAGTAAATGGTAATTCCAAGGTCAATGGCAATGCCAAACCTGTAGTTGAGAAGAAAGTAAATGGTGAGGTCAAAGTTAAAGGCAATGGCAACAGTAAAACTGCTGAGGATAAGAAAGTTAATGGTAATGGCAAAAGCAGGCAGTGACAAAAAAGCTAATGGTAATGGTGTAGAAGCAGCAAAACCTGAAACCACTAAAGCCCGGCCAGAAAAAAAAGTCACTAAAGTTCAAATAGAAAAAACTGTGGTCAGCAAAGTGAAATCAGCAAAACCAGAAAACAAAGTAGTGGTAGTAAAAACAGTGGTCAAACCAGCAAAAGCAGAAACTACCAAAGTCGAGGTAGCAAAAACCGAAGTCAAAGTTAAAGTAGTAAAAACCGAGGTCACTAAAATTAAGGAAGCGAAAACCGAGATCACTAAAGCCAAACCAACAGAGTCAGTTGTCAACAAAGTTCCTCCCTTCCTCAAACCTGTACCGAAGAAAGAGCTGCCAAGCCCTGAACCTGCACCCCCTAAGCCAGAGAAAACCAAGGTGGGGCTTGATGTAAATAACATCAAATCGATGACCAAAAAAATGCCTCCCTTTGGCAAGACTGCACTCAGTGGCACCATCGTCCCTGTGCCGGAAAAACCAAAGAAGAAACCGGGCAACGGTTATCAACAGGTACAAACAAAGAGCCCGTGGTGGCAGTCCAGAGCTGTATCTTCCA